TTGGGGAGTAAAAACCTGGTGTAACGCACTCCTGTTTTATCTCTTCGATTGCCTCCTTCTCTAGTAGAGATGTAATGGCTTCTAGTAGATTTCCCTTCTGGCCTGCAGCGTAGTTGTGAACCAGTTGGTTGATTGTTACTGGTGGAACTGCTTGTAGTTGTATCCTGTAACCTTTGCGTAGAATCTGAGATACGAAGTCGTCTTGAAGAATTCCCCAATTCTTCCAGTAGAGTTGTAGACGTCCACCCACTTGTGAAGGTTGTATTGGAACGGCTGGGGGTGGAAGACTCCAGTCGTTCCGAACCTGTTCTTCATCGTCTGGAACTTCTGGCACCTCTAAAGGGCCGACCTCTTCCATAGTTACCTCTTGGAGCTCCGGATGGGCGACGAAAAGAATCCTTATTTCCTTTAGCATTGCCTAATTTCTTTTCCCTTGCTCTCTGTATGCCTGCAAACTTTGATTTGCCGGAATAACGTTGGGAGGTCTGATGGATAACACTAGCCAGTGTATCAATAGACTTGATCATCATCACCTCTCTGGAATCTTTAGAGACAACATCCTCCGTTGACGACCCCGGTAGACCACTGGGATGGTGAATCTGCGCAGACACCAACTGCCAGTCCTCTGCAAGCTTAGCCGGTTTAGACATGTCGTGAAAATCTCATCTGGACCTGTCCTTTGCTATCAGACAGGTGAAAACACAACCGACAACGAAAGCCAGATGAACACGCAGGCTTGCAATTAGGACATAGGTTATGTGGATCAACAGCAGACAATCTGTACCTGCAACAAGAGCAAGATTTCATCAATTGTAACAATCTGAACAATCACGTAAAAACGTGATAAAACAGAGAAAATTGAGAAATAATTTCAAACCATATTGAAGGTAAATGTTTACTTAAAGCCTTATACAGCTAACTTAGAAGAAAGGCCTAAATAATAAAAGGATATAATGCCGTATAGACCCAGGCACTCTCACAATCGTCCACTCGGGCGAATCAGGAGAGAGTGAGGAGCATGGTGACAGGTGGCGCCGTTTTCCCGCCAAAACCTTGGGAAGGGAGATGACTCCTGGTAAGTGATTTTACGTCCGCTTTTTTTAAGGGAGCTTTAAAAGGGGATTCAAGTGTTCCACTAGCATTCGGAAGGAAAGGGAGACAAGCAATAAGCATGAGTCAGGATAAGGAAAAATATACACATTAGCTGCCTCATGACTATGTATTCAGTGTTTCAGGCCACCGGTGGTTACCTTCTCATATGCGAGAACACTCACCTGTCTTGATTTACCTGGTGTAGCATACAGCTCTACTATTAGTGATTTAAGTGTGTCGCAGTATATAGGCCAATATTGTCGCATACATGTACTGCTGTCTGACGAAACATTAGGCTGTTTTATTATCTGTATCACCCATGAAGACCCGGGTTAGATTTGGTCTTCAGTAACCAATGCTTGTTGTAAGAGACGAATAACGGGATTGGATGGTCAGACTCTGACTTGGATGAAACATGTCATCGTCTCCCAGTTGCACAGATCGATGCTCATGATGTTGATCACTGGAATGTCTGGTCCAGACTTGATTATTTACAGACTGTCGCCATATAGCTGGAATATTGCTGAGTGATGGTGTAAACTAAACTCCTTCACGCCATTCCATGGCTGTAACTGTATGTCAACATGACACCTGAATATGGTGTTACTCTCCAACAACCTTTCTCTATAAGTGACTCCAAAAACCTGAAGGACCCATATTTCCTAATAAATGAACATATTAAGTTCAGGATATTTTTCACAACATCTCTTTACTAGTTATGGTTTTCAGGTTATTATTTTTTTATACTCCGTTTGATAGAAAAAACTATATTGAATGAGTGTGATAAGTTGTAAAACAATACAACCAGAACGCACATGGGTGCCGCACGCTTTCTGCAGGAGTATGTTCTGCAACGCGAACATGTGGCAAGTTTCAAGGCAGTTAAAGGATATATTATGTGTTGTGAATGTGTGCCTATTCTGTTCCTTTCTGTGGATATATTTGTTCATTAAGGAAATGTCAGGGCCACAAACTGTGAGTATCTGAGTTTATTACAAACAATCTTTATGATTTGACTACCCGCTAGAAAACCTATATTGATAATTGACTATGATAAGTTGAAAGACAATACAACCAGAACGCACGTAGGTGCCGCACGCTTTCCACGGGAATATGTTCTGATACGCGAACACGTGGCAAGTTACAAGGCAGTGAAATGATTCTATCGTGTGAAGTGAATCTGTGCCTATTCTGTTTCCTTCTATGTATATATTTGCTCATTTGGGAAATACTATGGACCACCACTGTGAGTATCTGAGTTCATTACAAACAACCTTTATGATTTGACTACTGGTACCCGAGGGTTGGGGTCGGTAGAATCCACAGGATGATATTTTATGCGCTCACTTGTTTTATTGTTACCATTCTTACTATTTTGAATACCAAAATTGTCTTATTGTACTCCAACTATGCTCCATCAATACTTTATATAGCTATTGTGTATAGATACCACTTATTGTACTCCAACTATGCTCCATCAATACTTTATATAGCTATTGTTTATAGATACCACTTTAACACACCTTGCTACGATCCAAAATGGTTACCACCTTCGGTATTTTTCACAATGATTGACAAACTAAAGATTATATCTCTGAACTGTAGAGGTATAAACAGAGACCATATAATAGATATGGTCTCTGGTATAAATGATAAGTTGAAACGCAAAGATGTACTTGCTTTTTAAAACGTAAAAGGTCATCTATCTATGGTTTACAAGATGTGCATTTCACTGAAAACATGGAGAACACAATAAAGGAAGAATGGGGAAATAAGAAAAAAATAATTCAGTTCTTTTAAGAGTAATGCTCGGGGTGTAGCAATGTTGTGTTCTAAATGGTTAGACTGTGAGCTTCAGAGTGTGAATGCAGATGAAGAAGGTAATATGAAAACAGTTGAATTGATTATTATAAACCTGCTATTGTTAATCTCTATGGTCCAAATAACGACAACACCCAATTCTATGAAACCCTTACACAAAATATCAAAACTTTTCATAGCGACCACGTAATCATATGTGGTGACTGGAATGTGGTACAAGATTTTGCTGTTGATACGTATAATTATAAACACTTGAACAACTCTAACGCTAGAGAACACATTTTGAAACTTAAAAATGAACTAGACTTTCTTGACCCTTGGCGACAAAGAAATCCTTTTGATCGGCGATACACATGGCAACAGCCGAGCCCCCTTGACACAAGCGCGCCTGGACTATTTTCTTGTATCCCATAATATGTAACGATCAGTCACAGAATCAGTAATTGAACCCGGTTTCAAATCAGACCACTCGGCGATATCAATGACATTCAAACTATCAGACCTATCACGTGGAAAAGGGTTTTGGAAATTTAACAATTCTTTATTAAAGGACCAATCATGTGTAATGAAAATTAAGGGCATTATTTCCCAAACAGTTCAGCAGTACAAAGTTGGGACAAACGAATATAGTATAAACGACCAGCTTCTTTTTTAAACTATTTTACTGATGATAAGAGGAGAAACCATAAAGTACTATACATTTCTGAAAAAGGAAAGAATTAAGAAAGAAACACAACTTACAGATAAACTCAATGAAACAGAAGTTAAGCTAGATGAATCAAACGATGTCACAATAAAGGCAGATCTGATTTCTGATATTAAACAATTACAGCAGGAACTCGAAGAAATATACGAAACCAAAACTCAAGGGTCAATTCTTAGGTCCAAAGCTACATGGATCGAACAGGGAGAAAAAACAACTTCTTTCTTATTAAATTTAGAAGCTAGAAACTTTGTTAATAAATCATTTTCAAGAATTGAAGATGCGAATGGAAAAATTCTAACCACCCAAGATGATATCCAAAATGAAGTAAAACTGTTCTATCAAAAGCTTTATAGTAATCATGACGTTTCTAATATAAATTTTGACCTACTGACTCATTGTAAAATTTTGAAACTGAGTCACAACGTATCATCCAGCCTCGAAGCTGAACGTAGATAAGACGAAATCCTAACTGCTCTTAAATGTCTTAAGAACGATAAAAGTCCAGGCGCAGATGGCTTTAATGCAGAATTCCTTAAGTTCTTCTGGCATGATTTAGGAGAATACCCTCTACGTACTTTAAACTATGGATACAGAAATGGAGAACTGATTACCAGTTACTCAAAAGCAAGGATTTATTGCCTGTATTCCCAAGGGAGATAAGCCTAAACAATACATTAAAAACTGGCGCCCGATATCACTACTGTCAGTATTTTATAAACTCCTTCACTCACTCACTCACTCACTCACTTTCAATCAGTGCAACAATAATATATTGTTGCAGATGGTCTGAAAGAAGGAGTTCTTGCATATATATTTTTAAGATTTCAGATCTGTCAATTTGTCTGTATATGTTTTCCCCAAAAATCTGAGTCGCACTGCAAACAAACTTTGGCGGCTGCGACCGCTATCTTTGTTGACACTGGCAAGCTCGGTTGTAACGGCGGCTTATCTGATTGGCTACTGTGAAAATGCGGGAGCCAGCAAAGGGAGCTAATAAAATCATCGGGCCGAGCCCTAGATGCATCGAGGGTATAGTGGAGAGTTATCGTAACGTATACCCTGGAGATTATCGAGGATGATGTTTGTTATGTCTGTATGTTTGTTGTATGTGTATGTTCGTTGTATCTGTATTCTTGTTACATCTGTATGCTTTCTGTTTCTGTATGTTTTTTTTATATCTGCATGCTTATTAGAAGCAAGTTTTCGCTATACCAAGTTTATTGTAGTTTAGTCATCATTAAATCATGCATCAGCTGAGTCAAAGGAACTGACTAATCAATCCTGTTAGTTACTGCTTACAACAGGTATGTTATGTTCTGCAGGATTGTCTTGAACCCTCAGAACTGAGGTATTGGGGTCATTAGTTCCTGGTTTCACCTACCTGTATCCAGACTTCATCATTCATGAATGAGAAGGGAGTCGGAGGGTCATCTCCACACATGACTGTAGTTTTATTGTAGTCAATATTCCGACCATCAAGTCTAGGAGGAGTTCCTAGAGAAATAAATACATTTTGATATATACAACAATATCGCAAATCTAGCTGAACTCAGCACATGATGCCAATTATTATTAATATTATTATTCACTACAAGGAGTGTAATACATGACTGACCAATTTTGGGATGGATGAACGAACGAAGGAACGAACGAACGAACGAACGAACGAACGAACGAACGAACGAACAAATGAACGAACGAATGAACAAATGAATTAACGAATGAACGAACGGACGGATGGGTGGAAGGTAAGGTGGACAGATGGATGGATGGATATTGTTTGAAGCAATTACTAGTGATTTAAGAGGGTAAATCTGATTGGTTAATAGAAAGCACATATCTGATACATAGCCACTGGTTGAACTGCGGTTGAGCCCAGAAATCCTTGACGAATTCAGCAAGGTTGGAACCGGAACCAGAAGATATGGCCAAGCCTCCTCCAAACCTACCTGTTTTCAGTCTTCCAAGTTTGAAGCCGGCTTCCTCCAGACTTCTGGCGAGGCCTACTGCCGGCTCATCCCCCAGTCTTCCAGCAGGACGGACGGTCAAACCGATGTTGATGCAGCCTCTCAGGAATGTCCCTGTTGTCATGACAACTGTTTTCCCGAAGATTCTATCACCATTGTCTATAAATATAAGATTACCTATTAACTTTGAAGTGCACCCCTTGAATCACAGTTTAAAACAGGTGGTGGGGAGCGGCCCTTCAACTAGGACTGTCGGGAGTCAACCTGGAAATAATACATCAGGGATTTTCTTCTGAACTTTGGAACTGATTGATATGATGTGAGAGATCGCAATCACATTAAAGTCAGAGTTTGGTGCTCGCTACCAATAGACCAAACAACTGAGGCAACGCAGTGCAGGCCCAGTTAGGACAACATTTTGTGAACTTAACCAACTTCCTTGTCCAATCAGGGCGGTGGGCTAGCCTAGTGGTTAAAGTGTTCACTCAAAACTCAAAGACCCGGTTTCGATTCCCCACATGGATACAAAGTGTGAAAACCATTTCAGGTGTCCCCGGTCAAGATATTGCTGGAATACTGCTACAAGCGGCGTGAAACTAAACTCATCCACTCACTCACCGTCCAATGAAAGGATAAACACACGTGAACGTTAAAAACACTGACAGCCACACCAGACTATATTTTTTTTTTTAAATTTACAATTCAAAATCTTAAAACAGAACCAAAGAAAATTCTCGAATCTTCTGATAGATGGTGGAGGTGGTATGACAGGACGTGATATCTGATGAGATAGTGAGCGAGTGTCTTGACACTTGCTTTAGCAATTGTTTGACATCAAGAGACACCAGAAATGGGCTTCAAACCCAGGACCTTGTAATGTTCCACCACCTTAACCGCTAGACTACCCCACCAATGACTGTACCTAGAATAACTCCTCGACACTGCTGTTTTATGACATCACTTCCTGTATTTGTGAGTATGAGATCTTCAACAGGTGCCGCCATGACAGTCAGATTCTCCGTGTTGTTGATCTCAGTCTGGAGATGTTGTTTGTACAGTTCTCTGTCTATCTGTGCTCTGGGGCCCTGTCAGATAAAACCTATTGTAGTTACTGTTGAAATAATTTATCAGCATTTTACTGGTTCAAATTTTCTGGAATATATATACAAATATATAAAGCTATCAAAAAGCTGTTTAAACATGATACAGATATAAGCAGATTACACTAAAAACTATGCTTATAATGAAGCTATGGACATATACTACCCATCAAAAGTTTAGACTCACTTAAAGCACTCACTATATATATATCAAAGATGAATTTCTCCACTAACTTGGGGGAACCAACTGCAAACCTTATGCAGATAAATTGCATGAGGATCATGCATCAAATTGCTGAAAAGCATGTGCAAAATATCGTGCATGTGAACAGGGTCCTGTTCCTCAAAGCGATCTTGGGCTACGATGATCGTAACTCCCATACTTTAACATATACTTACGACTGTCGTAGCACTACGATCACTTTGAGGAACGGGGCCCAGCTGCGTTTTAGTGTAAAGTTTTGATAAGAATTCACCAATTTTCATTGAGTTTCATCATTTATTGAACTCATGACGATAATCTTTTCAACGTTACGAATTTGTTTTACAATACATCAGTTCATATGTAAACAGTACCTTTAAACAGTATGGAATATTTTGCAAAATCTAGTTTAGAACAATTGACTGAAGTAAGTGGCTACATTTACACTAGCGAGTCCAAACTTTTGATGGGTAGTATAGTTTGTATTTGTATGGGCTAAAATATACAATTGGTCGGTATACCAAAAGCTTGGTTGGTTGGTTGGCTGGATTGTTTGTTGTTTAACACTGCATGGTTGGTTTGTTGTTTAACGCCGTACTCATCAATATTCTATCTATACGGACCAGACAGCATAAGCATCAATCTACACAATTGGGATATGATGACATGTGTCAACCAAGTCAGCGAGCCTGACCACCCGATCCCGTTGGTCGCCTCTTATGGTTTGCTGAAGACCAATTCTAACCCGGATCTTCATGGGTAATTTGAAGGATGCAGCTTGTATTTGTTCCATCTGATCACGTGGCACTGGTTGCCCAGTTGTACAAGGCACTGAAATTAGCTTAAAGAGTTGCCTCCCCTGGTCACTCCAGAAGCCTATGCAAGCACCGGGTTTCACCAAAGTGTTAGACATCTCAGACCTGCATCAACTGGGGCTTTCCTCCCACAATAAGTGACCCGTGAAGATCCGGATTATAATTGATCTTCAGTAATGAGTGAGTGTGTTAAGATTTTAAGTCACATCGGCAGTATTTCAGCCATATCGTGACTATATCAAGTTATATATTAACAATAATTATAGGTAAAGTATAAAACCTGTCAACGAAGGACAGTAAAACAACTAGACTATCACAGATATATATTTTAAAACTAGTAATGAAATCTAAAATTCTTTAACTATAGAGGACGATACAATATAAAAACAGGCTAAGGTCGCCAACAACTGAAGGTAGATCACCATACTAGGGACCATGGGATCTTCAGTAACCCATACTTGTCGTAAGAGGCGAATAAAGGGATCATGTGGTCAGGCTCACTGATTGGGTTGACACATGTCATCGTATCCCAGTTGCATAGATTGATGTTCATGCTGTTGATCCCTGGGTTGTCTGGTCCATATCCGATTATTTACAGACCGCCGCCATAAAGCTGGAATATTTCTGAGTGCAGCATAAAAGTATACTCACTCACTCAGACAATAAGCTGACATGAAACAGGAATGTGTTAAAAGTGGCGTCAAACCAAACACTCAATCCACTTGGCCAACTTCAACTGCATCATAATACCAAGCTTATTGGATTGTTTCATCACATCAATAACAGTCATTATCTATGATAAAAATATATATTTTTACTTATATTAGTCTTAGTCTAATAATACTTGTACAATGAAATTCAGAGATGGTGAAAAGTAACAAAGTAATTTTGCATGCTCAAATTGTTTTTGTTTTTTTGAGAATTTAAAAAATAATTAACTTTTAAAATTGATTTTGAATTTAATCATTAGATTTAATTTTAAATTCAATATTTAGATTTTATTTTAGAATATATTTTAGAGGCGTGTCATTAAACTTCCTTACCCACACTGCCGGACCTTTCCGCTTGTTAAGTACTTTGTATTGTACACCAGATTTATCTGAAACAATGACAGCAGGTTACAGTTGTGAAATCATTATTGATTTTCATGGTATTACATTGCTTCCAGCATAAATTTGCAGTGACCCTTACGTAACTAGGTTGATATATAAGTTAAATAGATCATGATAAGGACATATTCATTCACATGATGATCTCTTGTGTAATGTTTCTCTTTCCTTTAATACTTAAGGTAATGATGAGATTGTGTTAAGATTCAAGGGCTAGTGTTTCGGGTAAAGCAGCAAATACTTGTGATCTGGAGGTCGCTGAAAGTGCTCAGGACAAGTACTGATCCGGTGCTGGTTCACTAGTACAGATACAGCATATGACTTCATGGATAACGTCTATTTTGGGGGGATAGAGCAACGTCTCGGTGTAGATTCTTACACTGTTATCAAGCTAAAAGTTGTTATCCATAAAATGATATGCTTATTTTCTGACTCACCAACTTCTCGATTGCCGATCAAACAATTGGTACAGATGTACTGATAGAGAGAGGGAGAAAGAGTGAGAAGGAAAGACAGCGTGTGTTAGCCGAGAAAGACAGCAACTAGATTTGGAGACTGCTCCATGTGCTTCACCAAGGTCAAGGTTACTAAACACAATGAACGAGATATACTCTTGTGTTGTTGTTATGTACTGTGAGTGGAGGGATATTCCTTCTCTCTTGGATCCAACTGGGGTCCATGTAGTAGCAAATGTACTGTAAGTCCCCATGGTCCCTAGTATGGTGATCTACCTTCAGTTGTTGGCAATATAGAGCCTGTTTTTATATTGTATTGTCCCAAATAGTCAGATTATTTTCAGTTAAATGGTAGTTTTAATATCTCAAATTGTGATATTCTAGTTGTTTTACGGTCCTTCGTCAACAGATTTATACTCTAATATTATCTATTGCTAACGTATTACGTGTTTTAGTCACAATGTGGCTGAAATTGCCCATGTGACTATAAATTTTAACTCACTCACACCTTCTCTCTTGGTCACACTAACTTGACAATAAACATAACATGTCCAGACAAAATTGAGTCAAGCCTGCTGACTTGGTTGACACGTTATTGTATCCAATTTGCGTGGATCGCATTAAACATGTAGACAATGTGTCTGACGTCAGGTCAGAAGGTCCATGGTTCAAATCCTAAAATGTGACTCGCAATTTTGTGTAGCCACCATATTGGTGCCAAACATTGGGCTTTGAGCAACAGTAGAGAAGGTGTCCGACTTTGGCTCAGAAGGTCTGTTCAAATCCCAAAATGTGACTCGGAACTTTTATAGCCACAACATGGATGCCAAACATGGCTGAGTATGTTCATTGATGTTTGAGCAAAATACATCTCAGTAACCCACTTTGTGGTATGTGATGTGCCCTCTTTGGCCGGGCTACTATATATGTCACAGAGATGGAGTCATCCCACAGAAGACATCCCCCCTGATCAGTTTGCTCACAGGATTCACCTCTCTGGTCATGCGGTGAAGATGTCCGACAAGGCGTCCCAGCAAGAGACTCAAACACCTAATGGCCACAACACTACATACAAAAAATACATGATATAGCATATGTAACATACCACATATTCTGGCACAGACTCCATCCAAAGCATCGATCTCTCTCATCAGATGGCCTTTACCGATTCCACCGAAAGAGGGATTACATGACATAGCTCCTGAAAGTCACAGAGTTAGGAAACAGATGAAGTGAGTGTGTGAGTTTGTATTTTCATGCCATATTGACTGTTATTCCAGTTATATCTTGACACCACAGACTGGTTTGGGAGGAACACTAACGCAGAAAATGGATGATTACCTCTTTGAAGAAATGTACATGTGTAACATATGTTATATTTCAGACTACACTTTCTCAGTAGAGCACAGATTCTAGTACTTGATTTCCATCCGGGATTCAAACCCCTACAGGCACCTAATCGCCAGCACACAAAGTCAGAGATCTAACCCACCAAGCCACCATGGCTTCCTCTTGGTTACCCAGTGGTATTCAGTGTACCAGCAGTGGTATGAGGCTGACAAACCATGGATTACAATCTGGGTACAACCGGGATTCAACCCCAAGAGGTTTCAGGCAGTCCTAAAGGATCCACCTCACAGCATTAGTCATCTGGGCCACCCACCACTGATTAAGAACATAAATTAAAGAGCCCCATATCAAATCTTTTTGTCACTCACATATCTAGGCAATTGTGTCGCCTCATGTGAGTGCCATATGAGCCAGGATGACTACACCTGCTCCAGGTTTCTCAGTGTGAATGAAACTCTCTGGTGTTTAAAGATTGTATTCTGTTACAAATTCTTTGAGAAATTAGGCCTGGTTAATTAATGTGTCAACAATCTCAATTCAACCAGAGGTGAGGTGAGGGGTGAGGTGAGGTGAGGTGAGGTGAGGGTGAGGTGAGGTGGGGAGGTGAGGGAGGTGAGGTGAGGTGAGGTGAGGTGAGGTGAGACGATGCGAGGGAAGATGAGGTACAGGTAGGGTGAGGGAGGGTGAGGCAAGGACTCAGTTTGCGGGGTTAGGCTTAATGGCCATTTTAGCAATAATCAACTATCATCACTGGCTAATACCAGAATCTACTTTATTCATTGTACCAATGACTGGAATTGAACCTTGGACTTCAGTATGACAGACAAACCATAACCAATGTGCTACCATACCAGCCCTTAACCCAGTGATGTACAATGAAAACTGAATCAGATTGAAATTAATGTTGAAAATGACTGATACAGAATAGATTAAGATCAAGTCTCTGAAATGAATATATTTTATAAAAAAAATATAATAAAAAGGAGCCCAGATACTTTCATAATTTCCCGGAAACTGTGAAATCTGGACTTGCCACAAAATCTAGACTTGCATGGGCTGTACTGGGTCTGTATGACAAAATAGATACTGGATACTCAGTTTACCTATAGTTTCCAGTTTGTGCGTAACAAGCAGTGTGTCAGCACCCATCCTTGCCGCAGCACACGCTGCTTCTGTCCCAGCATGCCCTGCACCAACAACTATGACATTATATCCTGCTCGACCCTGGTGAGACAGTGCCCTACATGGCTGCCTTGAAAGGAGCTTCCTTAACTGTTGACAACTTCTTGAGCTTGTGAGATTCATTTTAGTCCTGAAAACAATAGTGATGACATTAGTACAAGACTTTTCTCTCATGTCAGCCAAACTTCTATAAGAAACAAAACATGGATTTATCTGATCCTTTTTAGGGGTGGTTATTCAGCACTATCACTGGTGCAATTATCAGAATATAATACCCAGGTTGGAATTCTACATTTCCCAGTCCATGTGTATATGGTTGATATAGCTTTGCCGACGAAACTTGTATTTACCCAATAAGTGGAATACATATACCAATGCTTAATGATTATTTTCACATTATTGAATAGAATTCAATGTAAAAAATTAGTGTATGTAACCAATTAAAATAGTTTTAAAAAAAGAATGGAATATCAGTATATAAAAGAACGCCATGTAGATTTAAGAGTGAGTGAGTATGGTTTTACGCTGCTTTTAGCAATATTCCAGCAATATCAAGGCGAAGGACAACAGATAAGGCTTTCACTTTATATATAGCCATGTGGAGAAATGAACCCGGGTCTTCGGCGTGACAAGCGAACAAAAGGTTATCTGTAGCTCTGCTTAAATACATATATTAATTTATATATTACTCCCAGTCAAGACATTCGGTCATGTGGTCCTATAGTAGGATCGACCGAACTCATCCCCGCAATGTATTCAGGCATTCCGTACATATTTGTAAGCGAATGCCAAGTTTAATTACTTACCCTCAATATTTATTGTTCTCGTTCTGTATGTGTTTGGAATAGCAATGATGAAATGGGTGCGAAGGACATGCCCATTTACACAGTCTACGAAGCCCTGTTAACTTTTATTTCCTCAAAGGATAATAATCACAATCATTCCTGACATTGATTTTTTGTTGCATTAAAAATATATGACATAAATATGTTTCACTTGTGTTGTGTGTTCTTGACTCCACACCTCTTGCCCCCTGTTGTTACAAGTCAAAAAGTCCTTTTGTAGTAAAAACTGATTTAGTTATATTTATTTGACAATATTGATTAAAAAACATGAATAAATCATATACAATCACAGAATAAATTTTTAAATTGTTGTTTGAATCCCATCTTCTCCGGATGATAAACCTTTCAGTGTGTGTGTGAGTGAGTTTAGTTTTATGCCGCGTTCAGCAATATTCCAGCAGTATCACGGCGGGGACACCAGAAATGGGCTCCAGACATTAATATTGTGCCCATTATCTCCCTAAGTACCGGGAGTCACCTAATCAAAACCAACACCCAACCTAACGAGATAATTGATAGTAGCAGTTAATCCAGTTGCGGGGGAGTGAGTACAGCTGACAGAACAGCCAAGCGAGGTACAAATTAGTGGCTTGTTGTGAGTGAGTTGAGTTTAAGGTCGCACTCAGCAATATTCCAGCTACAAGCGGTCTGTAAATAATCGAGTCTGGACCAGACAATCCAGTGATCAACAATATGAGCATCGATCTACGCAATTGGGTACCGATGACATGTGTCAACCAAGTCAGCGAGCCTGACCACGCGATCCCGTTAGTCGCCTCTTACGACAAGCATAGTCGCCTTTTGTGGCAAGCATATAGGTTACTGAAGACCTATTCTACCCCGGATCTTCACGGGTCTAGTGGCTTGTAACAACAGGGGGGTTATGGGGACGGGGGCTACAGGAATGATGACTTTTTCTTTACCTGTGTTGTGTTTTATTGCTTTCGCATTCAAATATGGGAATAATCTTTTTGCACAGGTATCTGGTACAAAACAAGTGTATCCACTGCAGTAGGTATCTGGTACAAAACAAGTGTATCCACTGCAATCTCAACGGTACATCGTATTATCGGGGAACTTACAACTCTTGCAGCCACTATAGGTGCACCGAGTTATTGCGGCTTTCTCATCTTTACGAGGTACCCATTCCCAGCTGAATGGACTGGGACACAGAGTCACAGTACTTTTGTTCAATTTACTGCACGTTGCTGTACCTGCAACTAGGTGTTTTCACGTATTCATGTGCCCACCATCTGGTCATATACCAACGCATTCGTGGGTTCTTGTAGGTGCACAGGGTTGTGTACTGGGTGACAGGCCGGGAAAGCCACATTTAATAAATGACTATTGCCGTGAAGGCCACATTTCAATTACATGGCTGAAGCCGGTAAAGCCACATTTCCAATAGATTAATTAATTAATGGATTAGCGTAATCGGTAAAAGAGTGTCTCCATGTATAATTTTTATTTCACAAGAAACTAATAATCTTTCCTACTCACAAGCGTGGCGTTTAGCTTCTTCACTCATTGTTTATTACTCAAAATGGTATATGTCGAGTGAAGGTGAGTTTTTAAAAATCTTATAATATTATCCTTTAAGATGAATTATTCATTTCACTGGTCCATGATTGTAAAAACTGGTCTTTCAGGATTGAATAAGAGTTTGATATGATCCACTAGGATTGAGTGTAATGAAAGGGGTTTACAAATACAGCCGCATTTACAAAATATATGTTTCACATGATTTAGCCAGGGAGCATCATCCATACTATATTCTAGAATGAAAGCTGCTATATTGTTGTTTGGATGAGAAAAATTTCAATTTGCACCAATAAGTAATTAATCGTTTAGAGATTTGGAGCTGAATAAGTTGTCTTTCAAGTTCTCCATAAACCATAAAGTTCGGGGTGTTTTATCTAAGACCGGTAGCTAATTTAAGGAATTTAAAATGAACACGTTCAATGACATCGCAATACCGGTAAAATACTGTTCCTAGATTAAGATTAATCTAACAAGAACCTAAAAGGATGGCACAATAAGGTAAACAGACTTGTCCAGAAGTGCCACCCTAACATTTACGAGATAGTAAAGTTATTTCAGCGTGAGCAGTCTCTCACAGAGGTTGCTGTCCTGAGACTATCTGACCAGTGGACAGCACCTTCACGGAGAAAGAAATACAGAACCATTGACGCTCGTATTGCATCACTGAAGACCAACCTTCTGAGCCAACACCTGAGTGACATGGAGCATACGGACCATGTGGGCGACCTCCTTCATCTGCAGTAGGAGGTGTAAACAAGAATGTTTCGTGATCTTACGCCATTTTATCTGTTTGTACACATGGAAGCAAACTAAACCATTATCATTATTATTATGTTTTACAGATTAAGATTTATTATTATTTTGTGATATTATTATTATATGTAATATACCTATTAGTATATTATATTGTGCTAATTATAGAAACAAAACCTGTTGTGATCTGAATAAAGTTATGAGGAAACATGCCTTGTTTTGTTAAATACCATATTCACTAATCATATTTTGACAGCATAGCCGGGAGAGCCACATTCCATGTTCACGCAACCATAACTATTGCCGGGAAAGCCACATCAATTTAGACTATCTGTTTCGGGAAATGTGGCTCTCCCGGTCTGTAACCGTGTACTGTACACTAGGGGTTGTTACAACTCAGAAAGATTCTGCATAGGTGGGCTCGATCCCGACACCTCAAGCTTGCTGGATCGCGAGCCTTAGCCAGCTCGCCCACCACGCTCCCGTTATAATACTAAATGTGTTGATACTAAATCCCTTTAAAAAGAATGATTTTTGTCATAATTCCATGTATTTATTGCATGTTAAGAAATAATGTACAGCATTACAAGATGGACTGCTCCCTTTAAATTATCTGTCATAGGGAATCGTGACTTGGATGTTCTGGTGGTAAAAAACCTAGTGGAAGAACATAATTATGAGGCATCAGAGGCTATATTCAAGTCCTATCCAGAGGTACGCTATTGTTAACATGGTAAAGCTTCATGGCTGGTTCCCTACTTCAAAATCTGGTAATGTGAAACACGTGATGAAGAATTTCTTAGACACCATGTATACTTCAGCTTTGAATCTGTAGTAAAATGACAGAAATGACATGTGTAGCACCTTCTTGCTTAAAGGTTGTTTATATATTATCCATTGTTTATTTCGTCCACAGCAGAGAAGATTGACTGAAGAAGAAAAGAGAATGGCCAGTAAGATGTTAGATATCAACATCCGTGCTTCGAAAGTAGGTACATACTTGGCATCTCTTTCCGGAAAACATTTACAAGCCAAGGACATTTAAAACGTCAAAAAACAGAGGAGACAAAGATGATACAAGGCTACTGAATGTCATCAATACAATACTGGAAGATGACGCAGAAGCGATTGTAACATTAACTGTCAACAAAAATAACATCATAGACTTAATTTACCTGCAGTCATCTTCTATGAAGGCAAACTACTCAAAGTATCCGGAGGAACTTATACTTGACACAACTTACAAAGTTAACAACAAAAAATATGCATTTGACATCTCTAATGGTGGTCGATGGCAATGGTTGTGGTCAAGTCGTGGCTCATGGACTGATCTGCTCAGAGAAGAAGGACATGATGACTCAGTTTCTGGACATGTTTGTCGTAAACAATGCCCTTAGCAGTACAGGAACTGAAGTAATCCTCATCGACAAGGACTTTAGTGAGATTGGTGCCATCGAAGAGACCATGCCTGGCGTTGCAATCCAGCTCTGCATCTGGCACATCCACTGTGCTATGAAAAGGCGCCTTAATCAAGAGGAGATAGACGAAGAGCACAAGATCAAAATTAGGAAAACTCTGCAGGAAATCACTTATTCGAATTCACAGGAAACGTATGATAAACTGAAGTTGAAGATGCAAAGTTTGTGTACTTCAGACCATTGGGATCAATGTCTAACCAGATGGGCCTTTTACATCCGCCAAACACTGCCCAATTTTGGCAATAAAACTACAAATTATATTGAAAGTTTCCATCAAAACTGAAGGGCAGTCTTTCGAAAAATACTGCTTTGGACAGGTGTCTGAAGTTCCTGTATGATTACAGTGCATTTAAAAGTGACCAGAGTTCTACGAAGGCCATTGTTTCCTCTCAGTCATATGATCTCTCAGTCATATGATCTAACAGAAAGATCGCCACTTGTTGACAGACTGTTTTCACTAAGCACGGGTTATGCTGCAAACCATATGGCCAAAGAACTGAACAAAGC